AGATTGACTGCTTTGGTCCAAGCAAACGCTGCGGGGAAGTCTCCGATTCACTGTGGGGCAGTGTGAAACTTGCAGCTCCTCTCTTCAGTAAGGAGTCACATCTGCTCTCACTCCAGCAAGTTCGGCCAAGTGACATGATGTGTGGCACCACCGGCAGGTGGTTCTGCTGGACCTACGGTCGGCAGAACCAGACAGTGTCCAACAGACAGAGATGAATCCGGATGAAAAGACATGGGAAGTCAAAACTCTGGCACCTAATGTTGACTGTCGAATTGGTACAACACACCCCTCAAGGAGGTGTAAAACCAGTTGAACCGTTAACATTAGGCGCAGATCGCACAAACACAATCTTCCTGCAAAGTATTCACCACCTTGGCCTTGTGAAAGGGGAGTGCTTGGCGCAGTGGCATCGTGGCCGTCTGTTTGGCATCGTGGCCGTGTGATTGGTCTCCTCCTAGTCTACCCAAAGGTCTTCGGCTGTGGGGGAGCGGAGATGAGGAAGAACTCCATGGAGTTGTTGTCATTCCGTCCAGGATCCTGTGGCAGGGTCCAAATTCACCATGAATAATTACTGACTACCAGATCGAATTCACCAAATAATTGTTCAACACTTAGACGTATAACCGCTCAAAGGTGAAAGGCAAGGCGAAACGGGAAGCAAGGCTTCTAGTCGAGACCGTGGCCCGGAACCGCGCGGTGAGCTCGTTGGTATCGGTTGGTATCGGTTGGTCTGTCTGTTTCGAGGTACCCAAAGAGATCGAAAAGCCCTCGCTTTTTGGGGGGGTCAGGGTTCAGCTGAGCACTGTGGAGTCACTGTGGAGCACATGTTTAAACTATGTTAATCCGTCGCCTCCGAGTCAAGGCTTTTTCATACGACCTCCCCAGTTCTCGGGAAGTTTGGCACCGGTCACAGGAACACTCTCCGGACTGGCCTACCCAGAGCGGGTTTGTTGACCCAGGCGGATGTTGGGTTCGGAAAACTCTATAGGTGGCGGTCTGTGGGCTCTGTGGAAATCGTGCACATATACAAAGCTGAAATTATGGAGACCCCATCTGTACATAGCTGAGCGGATCCTTGGGGCACAAGCGGATCCTTGGGGCACAAGCGGATCCTTGGGGCACAAGTGCTCAAGAGACCAACCAACTAACGTTCATCAAACTTCCATCACCCTACCCTGAAGAATCCTCAGGAACTACACCTAAGTCAGGAACTACACCTACACAACCCTCCAACCCTCTTCCAACTCTCTCACCGGTCCACTTCCAGCCTTGGTGAGCAGGGAGAGCGTCGTGGAGGCCACTGGGCAGTAGCTGGTGCTGAGACCCGACACCTGCGCTCCACGCGGAGCCCGCGACCCGACGCGGCCCGACGCGGCCCGACCCGACCGAAGCAGCGTTCCGCCCGGACGGTCGGACGCTGCTTACCGCCGGACGAGTGGGACCGACGCTGGTGGTTTTCCGCCGCGGGTCGGTCTGATCACTGGGGGATCTTCCGAAGAGCGTGGACGCTAGTGGACGGGGTCCCAAGCAGCATGTGAGTCTTGTTGTTCTGTGGCCTCCTTGTTACCGAAGAAATGTCTCTGAAACAACATGCCTTCCAAGGACTGTACCGGCAGCACGGATCAGCGAATTGGATGTTCCCAAGCAAGGTGACTTCTCAGCTTGCTGAAGTGCAACACACATGCACCCGTCGTACAGCACCAGGATTGGTGATCGCTGGGCTGATCGGCGCGCGCGCGCGATTTTTACGACCCAGGCGTCCGGGCGCAGTAGTAGGTGGTGAGGGAGGTTGGCATCAGCACTTCAGGAACACCCGAGTAGAAGGTCTTCAGGAAGTACCTCGTCTTTTGTGCCCACTGGCTTGGGTCTGTGCAATCCACCATCGCGTCCTCCACCATACATGAAGAGGTCAAGAAAGATCCAGAAAACATCACAAACCAGCATGGTTCCCCTTCCTTCTGTTCCTTTGGAGCCACAAGGGATCAAAAGTCAAGCCTGGCTTGGAATTCTCTAGAAATCAATTGCACGATGGTATTGAGAACTCACCTGAAACGCCTGAAACTTGTTCGGATTCTCCACTAAGTAGGTAAATCCAAGCTTGCCAACTGGATCCGTCTTCAGAGTTGTCACCCCCCACCCCACCAGGTCACCACCAACGTCCCGTCCCACCCCGCGGGGCACGACGTGCCGGGAGCGTTGAGCTTCTCGCTGCACGAGGACTTCGTGGGCACCGCACCGACCTTCGTGGGGTACCTCCCGGACGGTCCGAGCCGTCCACGGCGGAAGGCTCGGGGAAGACCGGGGACGTCGGTCGGAAGACCCGGGAGAAGAGCCGGTGGAGCTGGAAGAGCGAAGATCTTGGCACCAGGTATGGGGAGGAAGATCTGCATTGAAGATCCAGCAATGTGTTTTCCATAAAACTGCTACATCTCTCTGCTGTGGTTAGAGGAAATCATGAGCGCTGGTCCAAATTTGTTGCTCCAATCGTGAAACGTCTAGTATTGATCTTCAGGTTTGGGAACTTGTACATACCACATTAACCTTTGTTGGTTTCATTCTTTGGGCTTCCCGAGAGGACGGAAAAACAGCTCAAGATTCAAAGAGAGATTTGTCATTTCTGGTCGTGTCAGAGCAGCTCAGCAAAGAAACCTGTAAAAAGAAACTCAGTACCCTTCCAGCGACTGAAGGAGAACGAGGAAAAACTGTCTCCATGTTTGTCCCAGCCCTCGCTTCCTTCGCGGGGAGGGAGGGAGGGAGGGGAGGGAGGGAGGGAAGGAGGGAGATTCGGCACGTGAGGTTCAAGGCTTCAGCTGCGATCGTGGTCTGGTTCTTGTTGATGCACGCGTCGAGGGCTGCGGCTTGGTCCTCGTCTGGTGGTGTTCCAACAGACTGCCAAACTGCAGAGCGGCAGTCGGATGCAAGGCACAAATAACGACTCACCCGAATGTGGCAGCCATCTACTACATTGATTGGTTTGGGTGGGTATCTTGTTCCTGGATGGAATCATCCTCGCAACCAGCCCGTGGCTTCATACCAATGCTTCTTTGAGGGATGTGGGCCGTGAAAATGGACGGTCCAACTGCACACTCTCTTTCCAACACGCGGCAAGAGTAAGCCAGAACGGACCAGTTCCACCCCAACATCTCGAGGCCTTGAGCCCGAAGCGGAGGTTTTTTGGTCCAAGCTCCCTTGGGAAGTTCTCATATCGAGTCTCCCCCACCGGTGTCAACGACCGCAGAAAGGTCAGGGACCCCCGGATCAGGGTTCATGGAATTTGTAGATATGCGTGTGGCATGTCTCCTTGATATCATGGACTGCCAGGAGTGCTAAAAAATAGCAGGCCACCATTAGGAGTGTGTGTGTTTGGTGAATTGTCCACACTGGGGTCCCTGTGAATGGGCTGTTGCCATAGAGGGGGTGTACTCTGTTGCGCTCATGGGTCTTGCGAGCAGAAAGCACTGCAATCTTCTCGTTCCAGGTGTGCGGAGATTCCAACGTTTGTGGCAGATCTCAGGAGATTCCAACCTTTTCCATCTTCCCATCTTCCCACATCTGACCAGCACGAGCCAACCGAACCGATTGCTGACAAGCAGCAGCAGCAGTCAAAGCGCCTAGGTGTGGTTGGCCGTGTAGGGTCCCAGTGAACACCGAGGCGGGTGCCCAACCACAGCAGCGCACCCGTGGTTGATCACTCATGGAGCCCAGGGTCGGGGTGAAGGTCCCGCCCAAGGGGTCGGACCTCTGAACTGGAACCAATCGGTCGAAGCGGGCCTGATCGAAGCGAAGCATCTCTGGGCGGTCGAAGTGGGCCACATGGGGCCCCGGGTGATACCCCAAACTCCCGAAAGATCAGCCCCGGGCACAGCACCAAGAACTTCAAGAACCATTTGGTGATCCTTCTGGAACTGGTAGATCTGGTAGATCTTGATCTTGAAAACACCCCGATCTGGTAGCACAGACCACGATCTTTCGGGGTGTGAACTTGTGGCCGCCGGGCACAGCGCATCCGAACAGGACGCTGCTTTTGGAGGATGTGATGATTCATGGGACCCCAACAAAATGTTTTAAAAGCCTGTATGGTCCTGTTTGAAAACACCTGGTTTGGTTACTGTGATCACTTTGAGTTGCCTTAATCTCAATCCCTTGGGGTGGGAGAACAATACACTGACTGAGCAAGCTCCCTGGGTTGGCCGTTTGCCACGGCACCCAAAAGACACTCGATACGCAGCAGGCCGCGCCACTCCTGGGGACGCTGGAAACATGGTGCACAGGAGCGTCGGAAAAGAAGTGTACGACGGAAAGAAACAAGCAAACGAACAAAACAAAGCCAGCCAACAAACGAACGAACAAACAAAAAAATCCCAGGCTGTACGAAAGCTGCAGGCTCAACTTGAAATGTTTGTGATACTGTTCAAGGTCGGATTCTGAAGAAGCGATTCGTGCTGCTAATCTTCATCCTCTTGCTGCCTGGGATCCTTTGGATACCCTTGGACACCAGCACTGGATGCAATTGGGGGGCATCAGTGAAAGCTCATCATCCCAAGGATGGAGATGGAAGATTCATCGACTGAACACACGTGCTGGTATGCACAATGCATACTTCGGAGTTTTCAGGTCGCTGTTTCAAAACCCTCTCCGGAGAGGGAGCAAATCTTCATAACAAAGGCTCAGAAGAATTCCAAGACTTCCTCCATTTCTTGCGGCTCTAAACAGTGGGATCAAACACCAACCAACCACGACACCGCATCCGTTCTGTCCTGGCGGCGTCCGAGCAAAAGGCTCTCCTGGAAGGCCCGAACCGTCCGTCGATTCGTCCGACATAGACGTCTGGGGTGGTCCCTGCGTGTGATGGTGTGTGTTTCTTTTCTCATGCTTCAATCAAAGGGAAAAATCAAAGGTCGAAACTGAGACAGAATACCAGTTGCCAACTGAAGGGATCTGACTGAGATGGTGGACCGAGAACCATCTTTCTACACATGCATAACACGAGCTAGCTGGCTAGCTGCGGCAGACACCGCCGCTCCCAAGGGCTTAATTCTGCGGCGAGGTATGCAGCTACGGGAGCGGAGCTACAGACTGCGTCCCGGTTTATTTTTCCTTGCCACGCTTCCAGTGGTGATCCAACCATCGAACGTGGGCGAATTCACCCTGAGCCTGTCCGCCATTTCACCCACCTCAAAACCAAAGCAGCTCTGGAAAATCCCCCACTCAGTTTCACTGGCTCTCCAACACACATCACACATCTTGTCCCCTTTTCACGATTGAACAGGTACGTCTCAAATCGAACACTGCGAGTCGAAGCCTCATACGCCTCAGCTGTTGCGATTTCGCATCCCAAAAGGCCCAAATGAAAACGTTGCAGTGGGTGGGTCAAAACCTCACCAAACCATGGGTTCGGTTGATATCATAGAGGAATCTGTTCTTCAGGGTCATTTGACCCACATCCCAAACATCAATCCGCCTCTTTTGACCATTGCTCTTCGAGGCCTCAATTCACTGACGTCGCTCAGTGAGCTGACCGTCGGGAGGTCTTTGATGATTGCTGTTCCATCCAGTTGTGCTTCGTCAGATGCCACAGCAGCCAGATTTCCAGCATGACACCAGCTGCAACAGCTGACAAATAGAAGCGATCCAAGTTCTTGGAGCCAAGTAGAAACCTGCAAGTCAAACCCAGGTGGAGAGACTTCTATGTCCTTCCCATGTCCGGATCGATTTTGAGAGACCCAGAAAAAGTGGATGCGGATCCCTCGAATTACCCAACAAGCATCGCCCAGTTACCATGGAACTCCTGGAAGGAGGCTCCCGCAGCATTGCGCGGGAGCGCGCAAGGCGTCCGTCTGTCCGTTTGGGCGTCCACTGGTGAATGCTGGTGCGTTCTGCCTTTCAAGGCCCACATGCTCGGGATGATCCTGTTCCGGGCCTATGTTTTCGGGAGACAACGAACAGGCTTCGAGCGGTTTTTCGCGGGTTCCAAGGGAAACCAACGAAAACCGCCAAGGCAAACCTTGCAGGGAAAAGGAAAATCTCTGAACATCATCAAAGCGACATGGTGGCCGACGCCCCTTGCCACAGACCCCACAAAATGAGGACCCCTCCGCAGGACAATGATGCCAGCAAGAACTGTGCCAATGGACCAGCGGCAGCCCTCACAGCCTGAATGACTTGGTCACCAGATAAGGGGGGGGGGTCCATGAGTCCATCATCTTTCTTTTGGTGGCACTAGCAGAGAACAGGGGTTCCCCCAAAAAGCCGTTTTTGTTTAGTAAAAGTGTCACCGCCGGAACTTCGCTGATAATTACGTAGGTTGTTGGTTGGGGGATAGAACAACTCTAGATGTGTTGCAAGTCATTTCAAGAAGGATTTCAATACCAGGTTCAGTCTACGCGCGACAGGAATAGCCGCAACATGGTGAGCGTCACACAAGAAACAAAACGGTAAAGCCACTGCAACTTCAAGTGCGGCAGATCCATCGAATTGTTCCTGGAACCGTTTCTGTCAAAAGCAACCATCAGTGAAGTTTTGCTTCAGAAATCCTTCGGCTGCGTATTATATGGAAAGGACCCCCAAGCCAATGGATTGATAGTCGGAGGCTAATAGCAATGGCCTCCACCCTAAAAGCAATGGTCTCCAACCTCTTTAATGGCGATGGCCTCCAACCTAAGAGCGGCCCTCAACTTAGTAGCGATGGCCTCCAACCTAATAGCATCCTTGCTCCATTCGTAGCGATGCCAGAAGCCCCGTTCGTAGCCTTCTTGTTCCGTTCCTAGTAAGGCCAGTTGACCCCCGTTCGTGCTCCGTTCCTAGCGATGGCCTCCAACCTGCATTCCGACTTCCAGCTCTTCCAGCTCCTTCGGTATCGATCTCTAGTCGGTATCGATCTACATCCCAAGGAACAAGGTGGCTTGCACGCAGCGTGAGCGGCCAGAAGATCACCCCGTTCAAAGGCCAAAAAACCAGGTAGATGCCGGCCAGCGTGGCCTGAAACCAGGAGACCGAAGGAAATCCTTAGATCAGCGGCAATCGCAAACCGAAGTCGAAGTAGTAGAGAAGTCGAAGAAAACCGGCTACAGCGCTCCCATCTCGCGCGCGTTCTGTTGCTTGAGTTCAGTCTCAAAAGGTTTTGGTGGGGCTTCACCTCCCTGCTTGTAGAGGAAATAACACAAGGGTCGCAAATCTTTCTCCACTCACTTCGCTCTAAAAACAAACCCACGCATACTCACGCGCAATCACCGCACGCGCACGATGAAACTGAAGCCCGGGCATCCCAAGGTGGAGACCGCTGCCTCGCAGTCCAGCCGACCCTCACAAGTGAGGACGTTCAAGACCCCCAAGAAGATCAAGGGCAAGGACATCACCATGAGAAGCTCCAGAGAAATATCTTCATGGCTCCCTAAAGACTTCACCACACCCTCTCGAAGCGGTCCTCTCACGTAGTCGTTGAACTCTTCCAGCACTTCTTCTTTCACCTCGCCCACCTCGCCCACCTCGCCCTCGCCCGGCTCGCCGCCACTCGCACCGCTTGGGAGAAGGGGATCGGCAGGCTCCGTGCCGCACCGCCGGGCGTCATCGAAAAGGCGTAAGACTTGTCTCCGGATGAAGACGCGGTCGGTTTCCAGGGTGCAAGTGGCTTTTCTCAGATCGAAGCAATCCATCTGGTCCAGCAGGGCTTTGTGCTGCTCCAGCTTCCAGATGCAAAACAAGGCGCTACAAGGCGCAGATACAACGTATGTGTACGGAGGTCCGAAGTAATAAATAAACATGGAGGAAAAATTCAAGCTACTCAATGGATCCACTCCATCTAAGAGGCACCAAGACAAGATGATCAAGAATCCCACCCAGAATAAGGACCAGATAGGCGCCCAGATTGGCACCAAGAATGAGGAAGTGAATCCAGAAGCTTTGGCCCTCACAGCCATCTCATAGCTGCCTCACTCGAAGAAGGGCTGGGACTGGAAATCGATGTCAACATCCGTGAATGTTTCTAAACAGGAAACCCTAGGAGGGGGATTAGACAAGCAAAAACTTAAAATAGATTCGAAGCATGGCAAACAATAGAAAATTCTTCAAATAGGTGGGTTTCTGGGAGGCTTAGATGAATTCACTTATTTAGCAATCCGGAGAACTCAAAGCTTGTCTGGCTGAGAGTGAGTTACACCAGGCCTTTTGAAGCAAGGTTTGATCCCAGACCACCAGCATCTCACTGGCTTGCGAAACGAAGGCAGGAATCACTTGCAGCGTCTGAGCCTGCCGTGAAGAACTACACAAATGTCAGGGATCTTCTAAAGTACGAGTACCCTCCCTCAATCATAGAAACTGAACATGACCCACATCTAGTGGAATATGGTCTTCTAGAAACCTATTTGTTCTACCTCCATGATTTTTAGCGGGAGGGCAATGGAACTTCCTAGTTTCAACTATCTGACATCATCATTAGAATGTCTCCAAAAACCCAAATGGCCCTGAAGACTGGCACTGGTACTGGCCAGTTGCCACACTTATTATATCTTACTACTGAAGAGCTTAATTACTACTGAGAACTATCCCCCGAAAACTATAAAGCCCAAAGATGTGACGTTTTGTTTGGTGTGGAAAAAATGCGCACTGTGTTCTCAATCTGGCCACAGATGTGTGTTCACAAAAGCACGTCACACTCCCGGCCTTAAGTCGCAGATTGGCTTGGTTCACACACAGCCGATCCAGCCAGACCGTGCTTCGACGGAACCTCCAGTGTTTTGAATAAGGTGGACTGCAACCTACCATGGTAGTTTTATCCCTGTCAAATATGGGGAATGTTGGGGTGAACAGTTTGCAAGGGGATCAGGGTTGGAGCCCACACATTCCTTCCTTCTCTAAGTGACCCTCGGGTTGCTCGAAAGGTATCCTCACTGGAATAACGTTCTTTTTCAAAATTTTACCCTCGGGTGGCCCACACAAGGTGAACTACATTGTAGCGGTTGCTTCGTCCTCCTTCTCTAAACTTTACAAGCAGCTGGCTCACAAAAATGTTGGTATGTTGGAACAGTTCCTTCCTTCCCTGAGTTTCACCCTCATATGCTACGTTGGATGGTTCCTTCCCCCTCTAAATTTTACCCTCGGGCGGCCCACAAATGGCATGCTACATTGGATTCCTTCTCCACATGTTACCCTAGGCTTGCTCACAGCAGGCATGCTACGTTGCAATGTCGACCCATTTCCTTCCTCATCCTGAAGACCAAATACCCACATGCTCAACACACCAATGTCCCACATGGTGGTCCTGAGTCCTGCCATGAGGATGTCGTATTCTCCTGCCCGGATGTCATACTCAACGCAGCGATGCCCAAACCGGTGGGCCCACGCAACAACCTCGTTTTGCCTTCAATTTAGCCCACTGACGAGATGCACATGCGCAGCTGGGATCGAAGCAGGGTGTCATGAGCTCATCGTCAGGCTGGTGTTTGGGTGTCTGTGCCAGTCTTCATCAGGGCAGCCTTTTCCGCGGCCTTTACCTTTGCTGTTGTATTGCCAGCCTTGGCGCATGTGGCTGATCTGCGCCATGTTTGTCGGCACCATGCGCGTCTGACAAGCATGCGGTGCACTGATGTCTTTGGGCAGGGTTGCGCTTGCCATTGCCCTGTGTTTCTTTCTCTGTCCATTCACCCAACTGGTAAAGTTTGCAAAGCTTTGTGCCTTCTCAGTTGCGACTGAAGAGGCCGTCCTCGCCCCAGTCTATGTTCACGGATGTCAGGCCCCATGGGCTTCTTGCAAACCTATCTATCTGGACAGCTCACATCAGCCCATGCCTTGATCAACAGCGGCAGAGCCCCATACGCTGACTTTGCCATTTTGGGGCCGTGTCAACAAAGATTCCAGAAGAAGATGAAGACGTGAGGTTCACTGCATCAGGAGAGATCACCCCAGTTGAAATACACGGGCCAACCAATCTTGGAGTGCTACATGGGTTGCGATCATTTTTGATCAGATTTGCCCTTTCGAGGATCGATGACTACGAGAAGCTGGTGGAGATATATCCCGAAAGACATGGCAGAGCATGCTGGCGGCCTATCATATTTGATGCTGATGTACACAGCCAGGCTCGTCGGCCAACACAATGGTGGCTGAGTCCAGCGTCAGCTTCTTTGTCTTCAGCTTGGCTGACCGTTTGGGGCAGTTCGACTCTCTTGCTTGAGATTGGCGCCGATGGTTTGTGCCACACACTACATACAACCATGTCTCGTATACACCGCCACTCATCCGGCTCCCTAGCGGCACGCCGCATTTACGCCAGCGCGCTTTCCTCCCCTCACGCAAAACCTGAATTTGGCAGCTGCTTTGCGAGCAGCTGTGAGAGTTAATGCATCTGCATGTCCTCGCCAGTATTCCAGCTTGACCAGTCTGAGCGGTAGTGGGGGCATGTGTGGTGGCGGCCGGCCGGCGCGCTGTGGTCTCTCGTGTTTTATGCGAGAAGGTACCCACTCCCGGCGATGTTCGATTGCTCGCTTGTCAGGGGCAGTCGGCTCGAACTGGGGCTGGCACGACGGGCGCAATCCCTTCTTGACTGCTAGGGGAAGAATAGGGAATAGGGGTCTAAATGAAGTGATGGATTGGGCAGTCCTCATTCTTGCTGGAAAATGGGTGGAAGAGGGGAACTTCCACCACCCACCATGTCTTCGATCGCGATATCCCATTCTCGGCCTGTGCACCATATATCCACTTGTCATCCGAGACGCCCATGCTGGCCCGAGTTGACGCTTCACTGATAATCTCAATCTCGTCACAAATGTGTCTCACCCGACCCCGCTGCAAAAGAAAGTCTAGTGGTGAGCGCATGTTTTTCATGTCCTTCGAGATAGGAATGTATTGAACTTCTCCTGCTGGCCCCAGTCCAGTCGTTCCACCATGGCGTTCATTCTTTTAGCCCCAGCCTCCTTGCACAGCCCGCCTGGCGACTGTCTCAACTGGCCGACCAGAATGAGACTCCACCGTCAGCTTCGACTATGTGCAGCCGTCCTTTTGTTGCTGGCAGCTCCTTGGCTAACTTCGCCTCCGAGTCTTTCACATCGCCCCACGCCAGTGCAAAACGGCTGTGACTGCATAATTTTCCGGCCCTCCACCTCCGGGTCGTCTCTCTCTCTCTCTCTCTCTTGCTTGGCGCTTCATGCGACGGTGTTTGTTGTAGGCCGCCTGCGTCGCAGCACTTGTTTTGGGTTCTGTCGTCCGGTCTTGTTGACTCGGCTCCTCGAACCAACAGACTCTTCCCCGAATTCAGGAATTCAGCTTTCGGTAGAGCTGACCCTCTGCCAACCTTTCACAGCCCTGACAAAACTTGCACCCGTCCCTTACCGAAACATCCGTTTTGCACCCTGACTGCTCTCTTACTTGCACACCGATGATCACGCACTCACCGACTGCAACGGTTCACTGAAAACTTGTCTCTTCAACTTTTTTTTTTGGATCAAGGGTCTGGAACTGCATCCATATGTTAGCTCAGCTGAGGCTGCCTGACCTGACGGCCCTCCTTGCATAATATACCTAAGAAAAAAAAGTTCTGAGAAGATCCTGGTCACAAATGCCCAAAGAAATACATCAGCAAGAATACCGCTGAGGGCCACAAGACAAAGGCTGACCAAAGAACGGCATAACTTTCCCTTCCAACATCGCGCAAGCTTCCCATCTGCAGGATGAGTCCGAGGCTGGCCAAAAGGCATGCGATGATGGCCGACACCATGGCCAAGCTCAAATTAAAATAGTGGCAAAGCACCTCAAAACCACAGGGTGAACGGCTTTCCCCCTTGACATAAATTTGTTGGCTCGTCAACAATCCAGCAAAACACTTGAGAGTCTAACCTGTTCAAGCACCTACTAAAGAAAGCATCTCGTCAAAGGAGGCATGAATCCAGCCAGGTGCGTGAATTGAACTTTCGCGAACCCTTTTAGAAAGAAGCAGCCTTTGTACAGGGGATTGTTTGAAACCTTCCACATTGTCAGGTCCAGCTGGTACCCGCTTTTTTGGATAGAATTGGTGACGGCCAGCTTTTTGGAACAGCACGTCCGAATCGGTCTATATTGACTGTTGAATACTGTTTATTGAGAAAATATCCCATGTTCACTAAAGAAAAGTAGTCTTCCCAAGGGACCATTGTTCCACTTCTATGTTAGTGAGTCAGAGTGCATCGGCAGGGGAGTGTTTGATGTTTAATGTATATATCAAACTAATCTCCCCTGCTCCGAAGAACCCTGTGACGCTGCCTCCCCGTATTGATCAACCCTCAGCACTGGATTGGCTGGATTGGCTCCCTTTTCAGCTTCCGAAGACCAAGCGGCCAAGATCTTCATTCCAGCCGGGCATGACCAGGAATGGCAAATGAAGATATCCACCTTTGGAACCATGGGCAACGCCTCGTGGGACCTCAGCAAGCTTGACCAAAGCAGCTAAAGAGGACACTTGTCTCTTGCTCCCATCTGGCAAGACAGATGCAACTGGCTTCTTTGGTAGACCGAAAAGACATAAACGCCAAGATTGGCTTCAGAAGCAACTCACCCAAACGCGCGCAGTTGTCTGTGCCTGCAAAATCCATGAATGGCGTGGGAGAAGCTTCTGGAGAAATCTGGTGCTGAGGGATGTCAGAAGCGGATGAAGAGTCTGCTTTCTGTTGCCCACTCACAGACACAGAACATCTGCCGCTTGTTTCGAGGGTGATATAGAGGAAACTTCCCGAAAGAGGGCAGCCGGTCCCTGAAAGGTCGTGACACCAAAACGAGGACACCAAAACGGGTGATCCGAAGGCCCTCGACGACCAGGCCGCGCGTTGGGGTTCGTGGACGGCCACAGCAGATTCCAGATCACATTCCAAGCAGATGCAGCTCTGCATAGACCCAGCTGCTCAGCAAGACTCACTTGCTTTCGGATCACCTGCATGGTCGCTGCTGGGCGTCGCCATCATGGTAACAAAAACACACCTGTCGGTGAGTGCCAAGACTTGAGCCCATGCGTGGACCATTCTCTCTGTGGACATGCTGGCCAAGACGTCGCCGAAACGTCACGGCCAACGACCCGATCTCTCAGGCTTCAGGTTCACTTTGGATGGTGCTTAGTGCTTCCCCTTATTGAGCAAAAATAACTAACAAAAACCAGCGTAACCCAAAGGGTGGTCTATATACTATGTTGTTCCCACAGTTAGTGGAGACCCATGGTCAGGGGGTCTGTATATCATTCGAACTGGGTGGTCCAGGTCATGGGCACTTCCTTGTTCTGCGGTTCGCGTGCCCAGGAGGTCGTGGTCGGTGCCTTTTACTCACGAACCTGTACCACATCCTGAATCATGATGGATCTACAGTTTGTAGGTAGTCCAACTTTGATGCCCACATGATAAACAGCCAAGTGAGTATCTCTTGCAGAGTGTTCACTGATTATGGATAACACGACTATAGTTCATAGTTCCAATACCTACGGCGATATCTTCTCCATAGCTTTGGTGGCCCCAGCGAGTCAATCTAAATGAAACCTGTGCTGAGTGCTAGCTGGTTTGATCCAACACGTGCCATCTTTCGCAATCTGGAACCCGCCACAACCACACCAAAACCTGTAGAAACCCAAAGAACCTGCCGCAGGCCGATAAGGCCCCTAAAGCCACAAGAATGGAATCCTCCAACCTGGTCTCCCCCCCAAAAAAAAGAAGGACCAAGTGTATATATATATATAAATAAGCCCCCCATAAATCCAAAGAAACCAACAACAACAACAACAACAACAACAACAACAACAACAACAACCACGACGACGACGACGACGACGACGACGACGATGACGACAACAACGACAACGACAACGACAACGACAACGACAACGACAACAACAACCACCACAACAACAACAACAACAGGGCACCCTTTTCTCCCCAGCGAAGCATCGGACAGAACCCGGAAACCTGTACGCACCGAAGCGCGCTGCGCGGTGGCTCCTGCTTCACCTCCTCAGCCTCCAAGGCTTGCACACTGCATGCATGGCCTTGGTAGCGAACGGACGCCACGATCGGAGCCAAGGGTAGCTGGCATCGCAAACGCTAACTAGTAGCAAGATGCTGCGAACGGGGCTCCTGGCCGTACTACTTACTAGGAACAACGGACCGCTACTAGCAACGGCATCGCCACGAGGAGGGACGCAGAGGTGAAGACGGACACAGCGGAGAGGTGAAGACGACGTGAAGACGACGGACAGAGTGAGGGTCTGGGCCCCAAAGCGGGAACGACGTGTGTGGTGGTTTGGGTTTGGCGGGTGTGACGTGGTTCTGGAAGTCATGAGAATGAGAGACAACCTCTAATCCTGGGTCAAAGGCGAGGTAGGAAGGGACTGACATGCTGTTGGCGCAAGCTGCTTCCTCGGCGTCTTCGGTTCGTGAACGCACGACGAGCTCGGTGACCGAGACGCGAGCCGAAGGCCCTGCGAACGATCAAAGAGCTTTTGCGGCGGGCAAATGTCCTGAAAAGCATGTAGCCTTTTTGGTTTCTCGGACTTGGGGACCCCTGTAGAAAGGGTTTGGCCAATTGTTTGGTTCCCAAATATATACTGCGTTTCTCTGGACGACTGGCTTCGCAGGAGAACAAAAGAACCATGGCATTCCGCACGGTCAGGTTTCCGTCTGAACGTGCTGAACGTGCCGAACGTTCTGAGCGTCGGACATGACGAGTAGGTGTCCCAGTGGGCCTCACCCGAGCTCGAACGACTTTGCCACGGGAGAGTGGATCAAAACGGCCGATCGAGACCAGGAAGTAGTAGCTTCTTGTTACTAATAGCAAGAATGCTACTGGTAGTAATGCCCTTGTTACTAGTAGCAGTGCCCTTTATTACTAGTAGCTTCTTGTTCCTACTAGCGTCCTTGCTATTAGTAGCGATGCCCGGATTCCTAGTAGTGATGCCAGGAGCTACTAGTGGTTTCTTTGCTCCTAGGAAGAAATGATTTCAAAGGGCCAAAGGGCCCTTTGGATCGACATCACATGGGTGACACTCTGGGCCTGTACATAAAGCCGGCCGAGGACCCAACCTTTGGATTGTTGCAAGTGGGGCTCAATGATTGAAGCCCCTTGGACAGAAACTCCCCTTAGCGAATCCCAGTGCTTCACCCCCTCGCAAAAGTCATCCGATCTGTTGCAGCTGGCGAGGTCACTGTCACTACCCGCTCGCATGCGTCCAACTCGTCCAGCTTCACACAAGTCCTTCAAAGGTTGCCAAAGCAATCCAACAGCTTCCTAGCAGCAAGAAGCTACTAGTAGCTCCTGGCATCGCTACTAAGAACCTGGGCATCGCTACAAGTAGCCAGGACGCTAGTAGGAACAAGCAACAGCTTCACCTTGTTCGATTGAATTGGCGCCCGAGCGACGACAGCTACCCGCCGGACCGGCTGGACGGCGCCTCCTGTGTGCCGGCAAGGTCGCAGTAGGCCTGGCAGTCGAGTAGAGAGGTCGGGGAGGTCTGGGCGTCAGAAACGAGGAGGTTTGAAGATTCGAAGAGGTTCTAAAGAAGATCGCATAATTATTGCAGTTCAAGTCAAAGGACTTGACAGGTTACCCACCAGAAGTTCAATTATCCATCCGGATCTCCGTGGGCTGCAGATCTCTGTGGGAGTTTGATAGAGGCGATGATGGTGGGACGTACAAGTCGCTGAGTACAAGTAGCTGAACTCAGCCAACAACTAATGTACTTGTACTACTTGTACTACCTGTACTAACTTTTGTTTGACAGGTCCTTTCTTTCCGAAAAGGTCAGGTCCAACAACTCAATGATTCTCCGAGTCGATGTATGCCGATACGCCGATGGCCAAGGCTTAGGTGCTGATCAACGCCGATACACCGTCTAAAAGAAGAAAAGAAGTGCCAGTAGTCAAGATACACTGCTTGAAAATGGAGGGGTTTTTCCTGTCTTCAATCTTCACACTGATTCGGACTCTGCGGATTGACGCAGGTGTCCTGGAATCTGGAGGTGTACCAAAGACTCACTCCCTCATGTGGGTGATGCCGGTGCTGGACTCGTTCTGTGTGTCCAACAGAAAGATGAACTCGTTGAGTATCGTAGACCCACATTCCAAGACACTCGGGAGCCACATCGTGGCCTTCGGCTAAAACATGCTAAAACTCTCCAAAGCCACCTGCTCAAAGGCGGACTGGTTGCTATTGCACAAGGCGTGCTTCTCCTGCGCAGGCGAAGCGATCGACCGCATGAAGGCAAAAAGGGTTCCCAACTGCACTGTGGATGGAATGTCGGGCTTTAGCAGTAGCATGAAAAGATACAAAGACCAAAAATGAGTTGTCTTCTTCATGATCTTCGATGGCCATCTGAATCTCTTCTTGAACAAGCACGATGACTTGGAGTTAGCGGCAGCGCGAACCCTGCAGGAAGAAAGGGGCTGACGTTGACCAGAAAAGAAATGGAACAACGACCAATGCGATCTGCTACCCTGAAAAATGTGTGGACAGATGGTCAAACATGTGCTAACTGCTGTTAGGGGTGCTGTACTGCGTCTGGTTGTGATTCTCTGACCTTTAGACCCATGTCCTTCCAGGCTTCTTGCTTCAGCTGGCAAGTGTAGGAGCTGTTGCAGCCTAAGCCGCCAGCAATTACGGAAGCGGGCCAGCAATTCCCCCCAATTCCCCGGCCGCGCAATATGAAAGAAAGCCAGGCGACGCTCAGGCGAGGTGGTTTCCGTTGGTTTCCCAACAAATGGAGGGGTGTTTTTTCCAATGGATGGAGCAGGATGAACTGATCATCTCAAATGTCGGCTCCTATTTACCGGGACGACCACCAAGCATCAGCGCCGGGTGGCTTTGCACCGTGGGTTTCCACAAAAGGAAACAACACCAACAACAGCCCGGTCCACTCGTAAATCTGCTACGACCCGCCGAACATCCGAACCACCACGCCGAACAAACATGCATCACACCGAATCACACCCACCAAACATCATCACATCAACCACTGCCGCGGTCCGCACAGCCAGCGTTCCCGGTGTTTCAACCCGCCTGCGCGCCGTCCGTCGCGGCGCACTGGGTCGCCGGGCCGAGGCGGGACTGCTCGCACGCGTAGCTGGCCTCGTTGTACCTGGCGATCGAACAAGCGGCCAGTCCTCAGCGCTGGCGCAGCCCAAACGGCACGGGGAAGCGATGTGAGTAGCACGTCGGGGGGGTCTGGTGGAGCCATCTATAGGTTGTCCCTACGTGTCGTAACAGATGCAACAGGTATGGAAATTGTCCGTTCTTCGGAGACACTTGAACTGATGCTTCAACATGTTGAGCTGTGTTTGTTGGAGCCGTTATGGAGCCGCCGCATTTGGGCGCCGTTCCCCCAACGCTCCAAACCGCCCGCCCACCAGCTCACCAAAACCGCAGTGCGCTTGTTCGCGGTTTGCTAACAAGAAGCTCCCACACCACACAGGGGTGGGTGCTCGGCCCTTGGGGGGGGGGGGCACTCTTGCAACTTCAACTCAAAGAAGGCCAACTTGTTGTCCAAGTCCTTTTCTCGGCACTTGGACCTCTGCGACGTCGGCGTCGGAGTGGAGTGGCAGGGCCGACGCGGAAGTCGAGCACCGGAGCCCCAAGACCCGACCGCGGCCTGGACCTCGGAAGGTGTTGGGGTCTGGGCTGAACCAAAACGGTTCGTCCACAAAGCCTGCGGTGTCCTCACAGAACAGCAAGGAGTCCTGTGGATTTCACGGCATGAAAAGCATCTCCTGAACTGGATGTTCGTTGCTTCTTCTGGGCGGGATCCCGATGTTCACATCTGCCAAGGGTGGTCACTAGATTTGCTCTGCAACTTGAATCCAACAAGTCTCCATCAGGCTGAACGAGTCGTAGACTGGAGGCTACCCTCTCACTCACTAATATGGAAGCGGAAAAACTCCTGTGCCTAGACGAATTGAATGTAGTCTTCTGTGGGACCATGCCATCCACTTCCATTTTCTGTGAGTCGGAAGCTTAATTGCTGAGCCCTAATCATTTGTCAGTGCCAAATCACTAGTCTCATACAAATGCACTTGTCAGCGTTGAGTCAGCATGCTCCCTGCATCGTTCTGAAAAGCAAAATCAATTTAAAAGAAGGTCTCAGACAAAGGACATGTAGCCATTCCAAGGCTCGAAAGGTTGGATATGGTGGAATATTGCATTGTCCATCAAGGTTGCGCCCGCAAGCCACACACAGCAATACCACGCCCATCTTGAAGAAGCAACGTATGATTCTCGCCTGCGATAGTCATTACAATAACTGATTTGGTGTCCCATGTTTTCCTCAATTTAGCATCCAAAGCAAACTGCTTTGAGGTTGCTCAATAGTGTGAAAGGTGAGAAATAGAGTCCTCCTCAAGTGGACAGAACATGGAACACCCATAGTCATAGACCCATAGATGCTGCAACTATTGCGCTGGCAACTATTGCGCTGGGTCGGGATAGGTTGAATTTAAAGGAGATTGATAAACCATGATCAATCAAGCACTAAGCACCTAAGTTCCATCCTTACTCGCCACCCCCCATCAATGTCAATCTTCCAAGTTCGAGCTTGGCTGGACAGCCAGGAGGCTTTGCGGCCAAAAGTGCCCAGTTGGAGAAAGAAAAAGAATGGTTGGGTCTGATTGTCTAGGAAAAAGCTCCCATTTTAGGCCCGCTCCACCCGGCTGATTCCCTCTGAGTTCTTCCGGCGCAGTGTCACACTCCGACTGGAACGTCAAAGGCCTGATGAGTGACGAACGGAAGAGAAGGGGTCGAGTCGAGTCCACACACCGGGGCAATGTTGTGAATGTCTTGGGGCCACACTGGGGGACCAGTTTTGATCGTCGAATGTTCTTCCCAACGGCAAGAGCTTCAAAAGATCTCTCCCGTTCAACAGATTCAACAGACCATGTGGTGTGTTCAGGAAGCTGTAAGGCTTTTCAGGTTTTGTGAGCCGATGATGTTGAATCACCAACCAGGCGAAGTCTTCCGGGCCCAGTCATGTCACTGGACACCAGTGGCTTGACACCACTGTGGCCATTTTGGGGCTACAACGCAACAGCTCAGAGTTCCATCATCTGTCTAAGCAACAACTTAGCAAATCGCTTTCATGACTGTAGAAGGCCTGCCAAACCACCCCCTTGTGGAAGTCTCAGTGAAACTGGCACTGATCCATCTCCCTCCCCGTCTCAGACGCCTCCACCCAAAGCACGCGGGGTTCGGGTTTAAAGAACGAAGGCTATGCTAGCGAGCAATTTCCTCCTCTTCCCAGGTGCCCGGGCGAAGGAGGGCTGGGAGGACTCAGGCAATAGGGATTCGGCTGAATGAGATCCACACAGCATTCCGTGGTGTTGGCGCATCGCGCCTCGCAGCGAACAGGCTGACGGGATCCGACGGGGGGTCAGGAATGGGTTTAGGGTTTAGGGTGCGAGGAAGAAACATGAAGAAACTGTGAGGTCGCAGCGATTTCGAGTGGAGTGTTTAGGGTTGCCTTTGTTCCCTTCAACCCAGCTATTTCGAGGTGGGTTGCCTTTGAGGAGATGCCAGCTTTAACACGTAAGCAAAAGGGTCTTGGAGTGGACCTTTTCTCCGTAAGCAAAGCTTTCTCGGCTGTTGCGAACATCCACCAGAGGCTTTTTTGTACAGTATGTTTTTGTGCACATGATCCTTGGGCGGATGTAACCCCTTCTGCCACATATGTCCAACATCAGACCCTCCTTCTGTATTCTATCCAAGGTCACTACCATCTTCCATCATCTCCCTTCTGCTTGGGCTCCTCGGGTTTTTCAGACACCGACCCTTTGGTCGGTTTCGGCATGAGAGACCGAACCAATCGACCCAAAAACCTCCAACATCACCTCGGCTCAACCATATGTCCGTAAATCTTCCCACCTTCGACAACTCGACCTCACCCGGAGGATCGCCCGGCCATCGCTCCGACGCCACGAACCACCACTCTCCGCCTCCTCTGAGAGGCAATGTTGGTAGGCATCTCAGGCGGTGCTCGGGCGGTGTCTCGGGCGTCATGCTTCGAAGGTCGGGTGGCGGAATCCAGGGATCCCCAAGACCCTGGCAGAGCTCTAAAATGGCCAAAAGCATCCAAAGGCTATGTCAGGATTGGAAAGGCCATGGCAGAGAGAGAGAGAGAGAGAGAGTTTGCACCAAGCACTGAATGACAAAGGTTCCAAGTGATGCATGTGTGCCATCTGATTGGAAGTTTGGTAGAGTATGAGGACGGTGGATTTGCTAAAGGGATCTGAAGACCAAAGAGAACCTGTTTTGTAGCTTCCCCGTGTCAAACGAATCAGTACTTTCCTGTAGGGACTATGTGTGGCAATCTCTAAACCTACAAGAGGCTCCTAGTTGTGCTAGTTGTGCGGCATGTGTAGCACATCTAAGAGTCTAAATTCCTTGCTTTCCAGATGAAACCCTCAACTTGTTGACCGCCCCACGAACCCCAGCCCGGGCGGGTTCGTTTGGGTTCCCTCGGTTTCGTCGCACAGCTCGGGCGACCGGGCCATAGTAGCTCTTCTCGTCGGCACCTCAGGACCCCGGTTTCGACCGGGATGGCTGGAAACGAAGTCCCTACCGGCAGCGGTTTCGAAAAGGATCTTCTTTGGGGTTGGGGAGCGCAAATGCTGGGGAGCGCGCGCGGAGCTGGGGAGCCCAAAGAAGAGTGTTCAAACAGGAGTGATTCCAGCGGTGTGTCTTGGGATCTGTAGTCTTTAAGTCTTTAAGTTAAAAGTCACACCGTAAGCAGAAGGGCCATCTTCTGGCGGGGAGTTGTTTGTTCTCCATCTTCTGTCATGAGTAAGAGTTTTGAGAAAAGCTCTTGCTATTCGTCCCCAGATTCAACACATCCTCTGTTTTAGCAGCTGACAGGTCACCTCTACTCGCACCTTGCCCCCCCAATTAGTTGGTGTGCTTGAGTGGCTGGGTGCCTCGCAGCCTGGTAGCGTCCTTTCATGTGTCCTTTCGGCGCAAAGAAGCTCAGATCCCCATTGCCAATCCGTAGAAGGATTCTGGCAAGCGGCCTTTGTTTCTAGGCAGGTCTCGAAACCTTCCTTGCATTCCCTAGAGCCCAGGCTTCCACCCGAACGCTCTCCGCGCCGCCTCCGCAGCTCCACGTCTTCACCACCGACCGCCACAAAACCAGCCCCAGCGGCGGCAGTCGAGGACATCCTTGACGCCCAGGTGAAGAGTGGCCTCCGGGCTGCCGAGCCGTCGCTCCTTCACCGAGGAGAGCCGTCTCCTTCCTCCTCCCTATGCGGAAAGCCCCTCTGTTTCTGGAACATCCGGGGCCAATGGTGGTCGTCAAAACCAGCTGAACTTGGAGAACTGGTGCCTTCGGCTTGGATCATTCGGCCAGGATTTCGAGGGCCAAGTGGATGATCGACAGCAAAACTTATAGACTAGCATAAGAAGGAACTCTTCGGATAGGATGATGAACACTTTTGGAGCAGGCCCAGGCGGCCCAGGATGTTCCTTTTCTTCGGCCTTCTAACATGCAGGCCTCTCAACGGGGGAAACGATACAAGAAAGAAAGAAAGAGTCCCCGCTTCGCCATGACAGCTGACCCGTTGGGCAGATCAACCCCTATGGTCCATAGAAAAAACTTTAAGCATTTCCCAGGCGTATGGGGTTTATGAAGCAAGCAACATCACTTGCGGACACCCCAAGACCACCCAGATTTCGGCGTGACACCCAAACAGAAAGCGATGGCATGTCACTTAATTTGCGATAGAAAGAACGTTTCGTGGTCATTTCCGTGCATCAAAAAACCTCTCAAACCCAACATGAAACATGTTCATGATCTTGTCAGGCAAAGAGCTGGGGTGAATGAACAAACATGAGAATTTGAGCCAAATTCATTCTCTCTCTCTCTCTCTCTTCATCTCTTTTCCTCTTTCTGCCGTCCCGCGCGTCCCTTCCATCGCCTCGAAGTCCGGCATGCTCCTCGAACGCCGAGCGGCGGCGGGGAGACCGACCGGACCGGAAGTGGCCGGTCTCCACGCGCGTGCAACACAGATTGGCGCAGTGGTGTGGGGGAAGAAGCCGCAGAAGTGCAGGGAGTAAGTGAGATGAACGGCCTTTTGCGGCAAAACTCCCTACAGAAGACCCCATACTTGCCGGCTGGCCCTGGCCTTGCTAAAAGGATTACAAGGGGAAGCAATGGGAGAATCACATACTGTTGGAATCACACAAGCTTGCCCCAGCTTGCTAAAAGTGGAACGAGAAATCTCACAAGTGTTACAACTGCAATCCCAACTGAAGAAGACCTGTCAAACAAAAAAGTAATCCAAATATCGAAATCTGCACGCATACAAGCCCTTCCAGGCCCCCCTCCACCCAGGTGGGCCAGGCTTTTGGCCCTCCAGTCCACCCGACGAGCTCCGCTCGCGGAGCCCCAGGCTTTATCTGGGCTCTCCCAGCGTCTCGGCAGGGACGCTGCAATTCTTCACGGCAGACTGCTTCTTGTTGATCTCCTGGGCCCCCGCCATTCGTTCATTTTTGCCGCACGTCGGTCTGGAAAACGCGGCCCGGCACGAAACGAGGTCCACCGCGGCATAAGCCCTCAAAACAGTTCACGGCACACGAAAAGGTGAGCTCCCCCTGCTTGGCATCTCAAGCAAACCCTTGTATAGTCCTTGGAGCCATCCATCCCCTTTGGACGAAACACCCTCCGCCCTATCCGCTGGACTCCTGCTGCGCGGCGGCGTTGCCGGTGGTCACCGAGTCCTGCAGCTTCATCGATGAACGACATGGGCTGAAGACATGGGCCAGGACCTTCCCAGTGACCGAACCACCTGGAGTCCTTGGTGACCTTTTGCAAGCCTGTTGGTGACCTCAAACCAGGGGATCAAGGTCGGTCATTGGGAAGATCCAGGGGTGTGTATTTCAATAGGAAGGTGTTCTGGCCCTGTCTGGGTAGACTGGTCTGTTTTTCCGAACCTTCCAGAAGGTCGCAGAAGGTCGGTCTCCCTATTTGAATACCCACATTGGGACATCCAGTCCAGCCTTGTCGTTCCCTTGGCCTAAAGATCTTTCGACCTGAAAAAGAAAGCTGATCCACTTCCGGAAGAAGTGCAGCTGCCCCAACCATGGTTGGCATCCCTTTTCCAACAAGAAGGAGAAACCAGATCAGCGACCCAAAGACGTCGTCGTTCGTCCGGATCCAGCGACGGACCGACGCGAGCGTCGGCGCCGCCTTCATGTCGGTCAAGATCTGCGAGATGCTCTCCACAGCCGCCTCAGTGACGGGCGACTGGCGACTGGCGACTGGCGAAGCGCCCGTCGCAGCGGTGGTAGTGGTACCGAAGCAACAAGGAGGGAAAAGCATTCTTTATATTATGCAAACTGCTAGATTCATATGCCATATGTTCACCTCGTGTTTGCCTTGTACTTGCCAGGCGGAACACATCGTTAATGTGACCCGAAGTGACGTAAAACCATTGATCGGCCGGACGATCTTTGCCTGCCTGGAGGCAAGTTCTTAGCCTGCCTGGATCTTCATCCACACAGATTCATCAACTGATTATCAACCAATGTGTACGCCCTTGCAACAATGAGAGTTTGCAGAGTGTGCATCCTTCATCCACCTCCAAACCATGGAAATCCAATTGTCCATCTAGAATTGAATTGTGATATGCGTCATCAAACTTGTGCACTGCCCCAAAGTGTTCCTCCCACCTTTCCCTAGAGTTGAGGCGAACAATCTTCCAAGCCCTCGAGTTGGGGGCGAATCTTTGCTTTTCTCTCTTGAAACCTCCACATGCTTCACGTGAGTTCTGCGTGCCTTCATCTCCTCATCGGGGGCGCCACTCTTGTGACTCGGTCGTAGCGGCGGATCACGTGTGTGCACAACACACGAAGGAATCCAGCTGAGCATTACGTAGATGGCGTTGCAAAACTAGTGTGAGATGTCAACCACCGTCAGCCACAGCCAAAAACGCTTCCAACAAGACACAAGACACTCAAGGGCTCTTGTTGGAAGCCTTGTTTGGTGTCTAGTTTGGAAGCCCCTTCTTCTGAGGTTAGGCTTCATCCTTCCACTGGGAGCCCAGGCTTCTTGGCCAAGGCCAAAATGCTGCTGGCGAGTCCATCCAGCCCCTTACCTCGGCGACGGAGCTGCCGGACGGCGGTTCGCCGGTGGCATCGGTGGCATCTGGTAGGGGCCTGTAAGGATGTTTTTCTCGAAAACAGCATCCAAACAACAAACAAACTCATCACCATCCTAACTAGCATTTGAATGGCTCCCCATGGCATGAAGATTTTCACGCAGCTTCATGTCAAAAGTGCTCCGATGGTCCCACCCTGAGGGTTGATGGAAACGCATCATCCATCGGCTTGTTGGGTTCTTTCCGCGTTGGGAACTGGGTTCCGCCCACGCGAGCCGTGGAGCGTGGATGATCGTGGAGCGTGGATGAGGACCCAAAAGCTGAATAGGATGTCATAAGCCCATCCTATATAGCCTAAGAAGCCAAGTAACTCCGATCAAGATCATGTTGCCAAAAGAACTCCAACGCCACAGTAAAATCTCTCATTGGAGTTTCTTTGGCCAAAGTCCATTGAAAATCCAGTAGTTCATGTCTCCTCGAAAAGAGTCACGCCATCGCATCGCAAAACCAAAAGACTCGACTCATCAAGGGAATTCTGTTCACTTTTCAGCGGACTGAACGGCACTTTGCAGTGGGAGCTCAAAGAAAAAGGCCGCAAGCTTCCGCAAGACCCCAAAGGGCCCCAAAACCACTGGCCCAAAGCATGGCCTCATCCTCTGCTCTTCCCTTCGAGGTCCCCACTCTGCTCCTCTTGGCTCTCGCCTGGCAAAGCCCAACTCTTGGTCCTCGGAAGACGTGACCAGTTCTGGTGCCGATCGACCCGTCCGTGCCGTTCAACCCGGTCGACGTGCGTTTTTGGGTCGTGGGGGGTCCTGACGGCTGACCTTGGTTGATCCAGATTTGGAAGGTGATGACAGAATCCAACCTAGTTGGTTCGGTTCAAGGTTGCATCACACTTTGTGGACTTGAACACAAATGAATGTTGCATGTCATCTATATATATTCTGTTGTATTCCTCAGCACGTGGGTCGCGATGCTCAAGCCATGTGGTTATCTCTGAAGAAACCACATCGTTACCGGCTGAGGATGTGGAAGCCATCCAGTGTTATACCACCCCACTACCTTTTAGCATGCTCTTGAAGCGCCCCTACTTTGTGAGGGGAATTAGACCACCAGACCAAGGGGAACAAGGTTTGAGTGGCTCTGCATATGATATTCGCAGTTTGAGTCGCATCTTCAACGCCGCTGCAAATCTATACCAAAAGCAGAGATGAGGCTCCACAGCTAGTGAGCTGCCTATTGAGCCACCGAAGCAGGTTCAAATAACAAGAAGGGCCCAGCAAGCAACCTGCCTGGTACAAAAAACTCGTGACTCCTAACTCCTAGGCCGAGTTAGACTAGGGGTTCAATCTCTTCCAGGTTGTGTTGGATGTCGGAAGGCTATTGCTATCTTTGAACCAATGGATCAGGTCCTTTTGAGCACTGGCACTAGACTAGACCAGGTCCACTAGACTGACTGAAAGGTCAACACCACGATACCTTGGTTCACCAGGATGGACCTACCTGGGTTTTCCGGGACCGTTCGCGGCGGCGTGCATGGTGGACGGACGACCTACCTCGGGCTTTAGGTGCCATGACCCATCCGTTCTCGGCTTCGCAAAGGACTCCACTGCTTTCCTTTCAAGAAAAGGAAAAAAAACAAGCAAGGGACCATCCAAGAAGAAAGGACTTGATAGATGGTTCCATATGGACCCCATATGATCATCTGGTGTATGTTTCTTTCCACTCATGACACGAGCCGTCCGTCAAGTCGACCATTCAAGGACCCCCGCAGGAGCGACAACCACGGATTGGTTGGCTTGTCATCGGCCAACAAGCCTAGGGAGCGACAGAAGCCGACCATCACTGTTTCTCCAACATATTCTATGTCCTTCTATGTTTGGCGTCACTATAGTCACTATAGCTTACAGGCTGAATGTTGGAACTCTCAAGCTAGCCAATCTGGACCCGCTGCCTTCGGCCAAACGGCCCGAGATCTCGACAGATGAGTTGACCCGCACGGGGTCCCGTGGGTACCCAGCGTGCTTTTGGCAGGCACATTCCATTCATTTCACTGGCCTACTTACGTACTTTTCACCCAGTCGGGGGTCCCGAATAAAGAGTTGCACCGAGTTGGGCAAGCCCTTTCACCAAGAGTTGCTTAGAGAGACAAATACCTGGAATCCAACCTGCATAGGCCACGGATAGACAAGGTAGAGGGCAAAGAAAAAGGTGCTCAAAAAAGAAGCACTTAAGCAGGTCACCCTCAGGGGTCAACTACCAATAACTGCTGTAGTTGATTCAGACAAGGAGACCTGGGACCTGGTACAGTCCTGGAAGGTTTGAAAACCTAGCCACCACCAAGAGGCTGTGTGGTGCCACTTCCCAGAGCGAAATGGATTGAACCGTTTGAGGCAAAGGACTTCGTACGACTTTTGCGAACTCAGAGAGTTCACTCCCCTTCATTGGCCCTCCGGCACCTTGTCAATCGGTCTTCGATCGCCACGGACGGTCTTAGCCTCCCGGCCTCCGGTGGCAGACTTGGCCTTGCCAGCGGCCTGCGACACGAACCCTCCACGTGCTTCGCTCGACGTCCACGTGGTTCGCCAGCGGCATCTCGGACCCAGCTGAGACGTCCAAGACGTCCTGGTTGCTGAGAGCCTGGTTACTGACCTGTCAGGTCTACCACTCTCCGCCCAAAATCAGGCTAGACTTGTTCGGGGCGGCCTCGGCGTCAGAGGGATCCGGGATCCCACTTAACCACATGAACCTGCAGTCGAACCAAAGATGAACCTGCTGCATCTGTTCCTCATGTCTTCGAACTTCGTGGGGGTGAAAAAATGGAGTCACCGCCCAGCGCAGCATCCCCACCGAAGCGCTGAAGTTCACGGTGTTGGCCCCACGTTCTGAAGTTCTGACAACATTGAAACCAAAGCAAAGGAGCACACCGACATGCTGCTAAAACTGCAGCGAACGAAAGAACAAGGGGCAGTGTTGACCATATCCCAGTCTCCCCACAAGTTGCCCCGGCAATGTAGACTGAAACAAGAACCGTTCAGATGTGGGAGCCAGTTGGGTGGAGGGTCTTGTCTATCGAGCAGTCTAAGCAGTCGGCACATGTCTGCCGCCCTGGCCCGCCCCCCAGGCCCCCAGGCCACGGCGAGTGCGGAAGAGAAGGAGCTAGTGAGGATGAGTGCAAAAAACTTCATTGCCTCAGCCCAGTCTGTTGAAGCCACCCACGGCTACTCCCACGCACTTCGTGTCGTTTTGCGCCGGAAAAAGATCGCACCAAAGACCCGCTTGTCACCGTGAAAAACGACACATGCGCCCAGAGTGACGCACTTTGGTGTTGAACACCCCAACAAACACCGCGAGAAATGACGAGGGTGCCCTTCCAAAAAGTCGAGGAAATGTACTTCTTGGTGTTCTGTGAATAGATCTCTGGCAAGAACTGCACGTGTCGGTTGGAAGAACCGAGGTGACCAGGCACAAAAACCTTGCTGGGGTCTTTCAACGTGTCCAATGCACTGGACAGCCAAAAGTGAAGAAGAAAGGGCCTTTCGGAAGACTGTCTTTTCCCAAACAGGCGACAAGTTGTCACTATTTGTTCGAGGGATGTTATTCAAAGCATACTCTTTGCAATGTCCAGACTGATGCTCAACTCTCTGGTTTCATGCTACAAGGTCCCTGTAGTCCCTGAAATTCAGATAGCCACCCACCTAGGTTGGATCATGATTCTATATGGTGCATAAAAACAGGAAGACCTCCCAATTCAACCAGTCTACCCGTTGCGCCAAGGGGGTCTCCCCATTAAAATGCACATTGCCATGTGATGACCATGCCCACCATGCCGTCGCCTTCCAACCTTGCGATCCCTCAAGTGATCCAAGTGGCGAGTCGGGATCGGTGAATGAGACGAACCGACAATCACGACAGCTACAGTCACGCTGTGGAAGCCAGCTGCAGACGGTGACATGTGCGACACTTGACCGTGACGCATCACAAGTTGCCGACAAAAGGCACACAAACCACAAAACTGATGGACAACGTGCAAGCAAAGTGGTTTCATAGAAGGGGTCCGGAAGGGATGTTTGGAATGAAAGATCTACCGCAACAGAAACTCGAACATCTCGGATTATTTTTGGGTTCGAAAGGGCCTGCCTGGTGGATCAAGGCCGCTCAAAGTAGACAGTTCGCCACTGGTAGCTAAGGTTAGTAGCAAAAAACCGTACCAAAAAAGAATGTTCAGGCCGCCTGATTCTCAAGCGCGGTTTCTTCCATCCGGCCCCAACCAAAAGAAACCATCCCATTAAAAACTGCCACCTACCGTTAAGTCTGTTAATTTTTTCATCTAGATCTTGATTTAGATCCTCATTCTATTTACTGCGAAAGCGCACCTTTTCTTGATCCTAAACGGCCTGACAATGCCATTTGTGAAACAATGAGTACATCTATACATGTTAAGCACTCCCTCTTTGTTTGCGGAGTTAATGCTGCTCTCTCTTTTCTCGCACAATTCCAACTCAATATGTGATGAAAACCACCATTTTCTGTGTTCCTCGTAGAGTTTTCGCAGTTTCACGTTGTAGAACTCGGCACCATCTTCAAGTTTCAACAACTCTTCTTGTGCCTGCAATGACGCCCTGGCCCTCAGAGTGTCCATGTTCTCATCGACATCTGTGGGTCCATCGTTGCTTCTCCTTCGCCCGTTGTTTTCATTGCTGCGGCATCTGTCTCTTTCTGGTGGTTGAGCTGCCTCTCATCCTTTGTTCTTGGTGCATTTCTGCAATCTCAACTTCTCTTCTATCATCCAGCAGCACTGTAGCTGTCATGCTACTCAGATTCTCTTCAGTTTGATGTTCCTGCATTTCCTCTCGAAGGTGTTGGAGTATCTGCTTGAAAACGTATTCTCCTCTCTACTGTGTGATTGGCTCCTTGTCTCCTCACACAAGCTTTGCGTACAATAAGCCTCTTTGCCATCTTCTCTGGTTCTTGATCGCCTCTCTCAAGAGACTCCATGCATCTTTCCTCTTCTGAAGTCCTTTCTTGTAGCACAACCCTTGCAACTGGTTGCACAGACAAGTCAAGAGGCATAGTAGTAGGTAGTGTTCAGGCAGTGGCGGCCATAGCAAACGACGAAAGCCTGCAGGTAAGGGTGCGAAAGGCTCACCCCCCGAAGGAAGGTCATCTCTGCACCCTTTGGCACACAAAGGTGCCAAAACGGGGTGTGCTCTAACCTTGAGACATGCTGCGTCATTGCAAAAGCATTGTCCTGTTGCGTGCAAGGCCCGTGTGAAACAATACCAATGCCCGGGACTTGCATTGTGATCAGGTTTTTGAGTGCAGTGCCCTTCCTTCAATGATGACCTGGGCACCATGCTTTTTTTTCCACGAGTACGGACGCCGTGTGGGCATAGTGCCCAGGTCATCATTGAAGGAAAGGAAAAACAATCAGATGGTGGAGAAAAGGACAAAAAACAACCCAACAACAAACCAAACAAACAAAACAGAGCCCACAGGCCGAGTCTCCACCATCTTGTAGTCTTTCCTCTGTGCTAAGGTGAAACAGGTGAAACGAAGACTATTCTCTATCAATGGGTCTGAATTCGCGAACGAAAAGCATGGCAGCGCGGGCTTATGCTCTAGCAAAACTTCCAGAAGTCTTCAAATGGACTTTACTTCCCAATTACTAGTAACCAGCGGCCACTGCACAGTGTGGCAAAAACCTGGTCACGATGCAGGTCAGGAGCATAGCTATGCTCCTTCGCCGGTTGTATCCACGTCAAAAGGATCAATGGTTGCTATGCTTCATGCCGTGGAAAAAGCCTTTCTTGTGGCACAACCCATTCAACTGGTTGCGCTCGCAAGTCCAGTGGCATACTAGTTGATGATATAGAAGGTGGCGGTCAGAGCGAACGGCGAAAGCCTGCAGGTAAGAGTGCGAAAGGCATCCCCCCCAGAAGGGAGGTCGTCTCAGCACCCTTCGGCACCCGGAGGTGCCAAAACGGGGTGTCTCCTAACTCTGTGAAATGCTGCAGCATAGCGAAAAGTGGTCTGTTGCGTGCAGGACCCGTGTGAAACAGGTGAAACATAGGACCTATGCTAGCATGGTATCTGTGCCCCTTTGTACAAAATTGGAAATGTCGAACATCAACAGAGGGAACTAAGGTTCCCCCTGGGCATCCTCCATTGCCACTTTCTACCACCACCTGTGGGGAACGAGGAGCTAAGGCTCTCATTCCCACTGGCTCACTGTATTGCGAATGGCGAAAAGAGGTCCTACTTAGTGTTTGCGCATTTCCTTTGCCGTAGCTTGTCAGCAGTGTGTCTATCCACCATTCCCGCTGCAAAAGTATTGCTGATTTTGGCAGTTGCTCTCTGGCATCTGTCGACCGCTCTCGGTGTCGCTTGGGCTACACAAGTTGCCCTCCTTGGTCAAGGACATATGTTCTTCGATGTGTTGCTTTTCCTCTGCTTGCACTTTGCTCGAAAGTGCGGACTGCCTGCAAAGGCGCACAGCGCTGTGCAGAGCCTCCTGTAGAGAGGTTAGCTGAAGGAAGGCTGCTTTTGCTGTGATTCTCAGCTCTATTCATGAGTTTGGCCTGCTGTGGCTTCTGGCCTACTCTGGACTCGAGCTAAGGCGCGCGCCCATGATACGAGAGCTCGTCTTCACCCCAGACCTGAGTATCCCATGTCCGGGATCATATGTAGCCAGGGTGGCCATCTCATAGGACAAATGGCGAAAGCATTTTCTTCTGCATAGACTCCTCGCCATTTGTGCTTGCCTGGCATCTTGGCGAGCCTCTTCAAGGCAGTGCAGTCCAAAAAGCCCCTACTTCCTGTGTATCTCAGCGAAGGCGGGATTGCAAGCTCAATAGGGCTGCACAGTTCACGAAGGCTTTAACTCGGATTGTTTTGGAGAGTAGTCGGAAGGAGAACTTCTCTGAGGCTAGTGCAGTTCACAAAGGTGAATTCCGGAATTTCTTCAACAGTGGTGTTACAAAGGTCTGCACTCTTAAGCAATCGGCAACTGTCACACGCATGCGCTCCAATAGCAGTAAAATGCTTTGGAAGAGCGAGTGCAGTGATTCCCGTGGAGCTTGGACAGCCCGGTGCCAGCTGATGACCTGGGCACCATGCCCACACGGCGTCCGCACTCGTGGAAAAAAAAGGCATTTTTTTCGCTATGACCAAGCCAAAGACACGAGTGGACTAAAATTTTGTCTCGCAGGTGTGAAGAGTTCTTGACACGGTATTGGTCACCTTGAAAATACTCACATGGTCGTGGCGCGCACACAGTCTTTGACACAAGTTGTGTCGTGCCGTGCTTCGCATGGACCTCAACTGAACCTGATTTGAACCTCACTCTTGCTTTCAGTCTGCTCATGCATGCGTATACTTTTTTTCCACGAGTACGGACGCCGTGTGGGCATGGTGCCCAGGTCATCGTTGAAGGGAGGGAAGAACAGTCTGATGGTGGAGAAAAGAACAAGGACCACAAACACAACCCAAAACGCACAACAAAAGGCCCACAGGCCGCGAGTCTCCACCATCATATAGTCTTTCCTCTGTGCTAGGTGAAACAGGTGAGACGAAAAAGAGTGTCTAGAAATAGCATATCGGCGCAGGTCTGTACTCAAGCAAAGTCGCAAAAAGGCTTCAAAGGGACCTCACTTCACAATTATGAGTGACCAGCGGCCACACTCCAGTGCGGCAAAATCATGGTCACGGTGCAGGTCAGGAGTATCGCAATGCTCCAACGTCGACTGCATCCCTGGCAAGTGGGGTGGCGTAGCTATGCGGCATGCCGTGGAAAAGACCTTTCTTGGCACAACCCGTTCAACCGGTTGCACTTGCAAGTCCAGTGGCATGCTACCAATCGGCGATCAATAAGCGGCGGCCATAATCGACGAAAGCCTGCAGGTAATGGTGCGAAAAGGCCCCCCCCCGAAGGGAGGTCAGCTCAGCACCCTTTGGCACTCAAAGGTGCCAAATAGCAAACAGAGTGGGGTGTCTTCTAGGTCTATGAAGCGCTGCACCATTGCAAAAGGTGATCGGCTGCATGCAAGGCCCGTGTGAAACAGGTGAAACAGGTGAAACTTTGGACAATCCTAGCATGGTATCTGTACCTCTTTGTACAAAATTGGAAATGTCGGACATCAACAAAGGGAACTAAGGTTCCCCCTGGGCATCCTCCATTGCCACTCTC